GACCCCCAAATATCAGTATATATTTTAAAACCATTTTCTGAGTGAAAATATCAAGGCATGAAAGTTCTTGGGGAACATTTAGATATTTATTTATATATTTATTTATTTGGTTTTTCAAGACGGGGTTTCTCTATATTGTTTTGAAGCCTGTCCTGGAACTTGCTCTGTAGACCAGGTTGGCCTCAAACTCACAGAGATCCATCTGCCTCTGCCTCCCGAGTGCTGGGACTAAAGGCCTGATCCACCAACGTCCAGCTAGATTATGTCATTTTAAAAACACCTAATTATGCTACAGTGCCTCCTCACAAGCCCATTGTGGGTGGGGCCATCCCTGGACTGAGAGTCCTGGGTTCTGTAAGAAAGCAGACTGAGCAAGCCATGAGAGCAAGCCAATAAGCCCTCTGTGGCCTCTGCATCAGCTCCTGCCTCCAGGTTCCTTCCCTGCTTGAGTTCCTGTCCTGACTTCCTTCTGTGATGAACAGTGATGTGGAAGTGTGAGCCAAAACAACATTTTCCTCCTCAACTTGCTTTTGGTCACAACAGTAGATGTGACATTGAAAACATTTTCTGTGATTTTACAGGTTGCCTCTTAAGTTCTCTTGAGTCTTTCTTTGCTAGGGGAAAAAAAATATGTGTAAATTTTGTTAGACGTGATCCCATTGGTCCTTTTTAAAATTCCTGTTGTCTGTGACTTGGGGCTCATGTTCAACTAATCATTGCTTGGGTCAATGTCTTGAGGAGTTATCTCCAAGTAGTTCTAAATTCAAGTCTTTAATTCACACTGAGTTATTTGAAGCTGATGGAAGACAAAGGTCTTGTTTCTTTCTTCAAGAAACTGGTACCCAGCTCCTTTGATGCCATTTGGTAAAATTTTGTAGTTAGAAGAGTAAGTTCTGGTGGTCTTTGGACAGTAAGGTGACCATGATGGATAATAATGCATTGTATATCATAAAACATGTAGAAGAGATGGCATTGAGTTGGTTTCCTCGCCATCACCTAGAATGTACATGAACAAACACTGCCTTGCACCCCACACATGTGCAGTCACAATGCACCCATAAATATGAACTACAACATTGTTATCATAGGAAAGGCACAGAGGGGAGGTTCACCTTCCTCTGGCCTTCATGGATGTCCCACACAAAGACCACGCACACTCTGTGCAAGCAGGAGAAGACACAGCGCTCATGCCCTAACTGAATGTGGTCCTCTCCATCACCTTCGTTCACAGGGGGATGAGGTCTTGTTGGTGATTTTTTTGTTTCAGGTAAAGTGACCCCAATATCAGCAAGCACCTAAAAAGCTCATGCTATGCCCTGCCCTTCAGTCACCACAGACAGTACTGGAAGCACGGGCCTCCTGCCTTGGAAAGGTACCTATAGAGATAGACTCACTTAAACCTGGGTTTGTCCGACTCTGTGTCTGTGTTTGTCTCCTTTTCCATTGTCTGTATTGGAGGAAGGGTTCTGACACAGTCCTGGTATGTAGCTCGGAATGGCTTTGAACTCACAGAGATCCTCTTGCCTCGGCTAAGCACTAGACAGTTATTTGTAATATCTCCTTGCTTTATTCTTGTGTGGGCATGTATGTGGTGTTGTGGGGTGTGTGTGCCACACTTGGGGGTGAGAGGGCGACCCTTTGGAGTCAGTTGTGTCCTTTCACCTTCATGTGGGTTCTAGGGATGACATTCAGGCCAACGCTTGATGCAACAAGCGCTCTACCTGCTGAGTCACCTAAGCCATCTCTCTGCCCAGTCAGCTCATCTCTCTTTTCCATCTTGAGTTCCAACTTTTCATCTAGATTTCTCCCCATCAGGGTTGGTTTAATTTGGGGAGGGGTGGAGGGAACTGGGTCCAGCCCTTCTTGCATCTTTTCTCAGTGACTTCACTTGATTCAGAGATGTTTTTCTGCCCAATGCTAACTCTACTCTCTGTTTCTTTGGATTTGCTCTTGGCTTTTTTCCCCCTGTTTGGCATTCATTCCTCACCCCTGAAAAAATCTCTCTCAGCTCAATGTTGACATCACTCTGAGTTTTTTTCTTGTGCCTCTTTCCTCTTGGTTTCTTTGGGCCTCATTCTGTCTCCCTCACAGGTTGGCTTCCATAACTGCATGCTTCTGTTTCAGGTTGTTCTGCTTTGTTGCTGCTGTAAGGAAGGACTTCGCTTACACCTCCAGGTCACAGCCCATCACTGAGAGCAGTCAGAGCAGGAACTGAAACAGAGATTGTGTAAGAAAGCTGCTTATTGGCCTGCTACCTCTGGCATGTGCGCATTTAGTTTCCTTATACAACCCAGAACTGCCGGCCCAGAGATGACACTGCCCACAGTGAGCTGGGCCCTGCTATATCAATTAGCAATAAAAACAAAGACAGAAGCAACCAAAAAGCATCTTTGCAGACATGTCTGCAAGCCCATCTAACTGAGACAATCCCCAAAACTCCCAGACCCGTACAAGACAACTCTGCGCTGTGTCAAGTTGCTGTGTCGATGCTAACTAGGAAACGGGCATTCTGCAATCATTACTTCTCTTTAGTTTGTTTCTAGTTGTGAGTTCAAGTTCCCCACCCCGCCCCCACTCCCGAGGAGAGCTGTGTGAAGGGTGCTTTCTCTAGGTCTGTCTCAGTTAGGGTTTCTATAGCTTCAATGAAACACCATGACCAAAAAGCAAGTTGAGGAGAAAAGGGTTTATTTAGCTTATACTTTAGCATTGCTGGCCATCACTGAAGGAAGTCAGGACAGGAAATTCAAACAGGGCAGGAACCAGGAGGCAGGAGCTGATGCAGAGGCTATGGATGGGGAGCTGCTTACTGGCCAGCTTCCCATGGCTTGATCAGCCTGCTTTCTTATAGAACCCAGGACCACCAGCCCAGGAACAGCACCGCTCACAAAGGACTGCCCCCTCCTCCATCAATCATTAATTAAGAAAATGCCTTACAGCCAGATCTTACAGAGGCATTTTCTCAGTTAAGGACCCTTCTTTCTTTCAAAGTTTGTGTGTCAGGTTGACAGAGGCGTAGCCAGCGCAAGGTCCATTCTTTTCCAGTTGGGTAGATGAGACACGGCTGCCACAATACAGACCCACCCGTACTTCATCACCACAACCATAGCAGAATTAAGAGATTATCCCTGTGTGTGTGCGTGTGTGTGCATGTGTGTGTGTGCGTGCGTGTGTGTGCGCGCGCGTGTGTGCGTGTGTGCATGTGCGCGTGTGTGTGCGTGTGTGCACACATGTGTGTGCGTGTGTGTGCGTGTGTGTGCGTGTGTGCGTGCGTGCGCGTGTGTGTGCGTGTGTGTGCGTGTGTGTGCGCGCGTGCGTGTGTGTGCGTGCGTGCGTGCGTGTGTGTGCGCGTGTGTGTGCGTGTGTGTGTGCGTGTGTGTGTGCGTGTGCGTGTGCGTGTGTGTGCGCGCGCGTGTGTGTGTGTGCGCGTGTGCGTGTGTGTTTTATGGAGGGTAATGAGAAAGGGAGGTAAAAAGGAAACTAAAAGTCAAGAGAGACCCTAGAGGTGGGCATCCTAGGACCCACAAATGAGTTTTGTTTTTCTTCCTGAGCTTGTACCACCTCAGTTAATATTGTATCCTCTCAATCCATTCGTTTCCCTGCAGATTTTATGGCTTCGTTTTTCTTTTAGAGCTGAACAAGATGAGATGTCAGATATACACTAGGTTTTCATTTTTCGTTCACCTTGGTTCCATTTCCTTGCTGTAGTGAACAGAGCAGAAATGGGCGTGGAGGTGCAAGCATCTCCATGGTGATGGTGAGGGGTTCACTGGGTAGATGCCCAGGGGTGAAATAGATGAGCTATATGGCAGCCTGGGTTTTGTCTTTTTTGTTTTTTTTTTTTTTTGGTTTTTGGGGGTTTTGGGGGATCTGGTTTGGTTTTTTGTTTGTTTGAGAAGGGTATGTTGTTTATTTTTGAGGAACCTCCAGAACAATTTCCATCATGTATGCATTTATATATGTAAACAAATGCGCATACGTATGTGTAGTGTAGCATGTGGAAAGGAACTGAGAAAAGGGTATTAGGTTGTGAGGAAGGGCGGAGTGCGGTTCAGGGACACATGAGCCGTGAACACAGTGTAAAGTTCATTGTTTCCTTGTTTCTTTAGAAAGAACGGTCTCCTAGCAGCAGACCCAAGATGAAGAAAGTGACACATTCAGTCTGCCCAGAATTCCCACCACTTCTGGACGCGGGAGACTGCAGCTTAGCGAGCTTCATCACCCTCCCTGTCCAGTTCTTACTTACCACATAGTCCCAGGCTGGCCCTCAGTCCTGATTTAGCTGCTGACCTTACAGTCATGGGTGCCATGCCTGACCCAAGCAGGTAGATAAAAGGAACTCCATTCCCAAAGGTGAGAAGCCAGACATCTGATGACAGGGTCAGAGCTGCGTGATGGTGCCTGGAACAGAAAAAGAGAACAATGTGTTTGGATCGGAAAGAAGTTTTGCAGACATTTGGCATGAAAAGAGCTGGGAGCTGTTGAGATTAAGGACAGTGAATGCTAGGCAGCAGCTCTCATGGTGAATCCTTCCCACAGTGCGGGTTCTGAGGGGCTCTCTGCACCTTAGACATCACATCATGGAGTCTGGACAGGTGACATAAATGCCCAAGGAACTGGCATTCCAAGGGCAAGAAACAAAGGTCCGAGGGATGAGAGTTCACGTGGCAATATAATGTAGGAAAGTCTACTGTTTGTACAGATTCCCCATAAACAAATTGCTTCTCAGATGCCACAAATAATATGAAACCGAGAGACAGTTGAGAAACTTGAAATGGGAAGAAAAGAGATAACCCCATGTACAGTTTTCCTGGGTGAATTCAATATACCTCTGTGCAGGTGAGAGATTACAAATTACATAACTCCACACCCACCAAGTGATCTGCCTCCTGATGGCATAATACAGGGATAGTGTGATTCCCACAGGGTTCAGATTTCCACACAAGCTGATCTCCTAGAAGCTATTTAGGCAGCATCTGGATCCAAGGATGAAAGCCCAGACCATGGCTCTGGGAGGGGCCTTCAGCATCTTTACGGCACTCTGTGTGTCTTGCCTGCTCATCTTGATCGCTTGGAAGAGAACCAGTAAGGGAGGGAAGCTGCCCCCTGGCCCCACACCAATACCGTTTTTGGGGAACCTGTTACAAGTCCGCATTGATGCCGTATTCCAATCCTTCCTGAAGGTGAGTGCATCCATTTCTTCTTATAGCAAATGAAGGCAACAAACGGCATAGCTGACTACACACCAGACCTCATGATTCCCAAACACAGACTCAGGAAGAAACTTTAGGAAACTTAAATTACAGAATCCTAACATCAAGGGGGAAAAAATTCTTAGACTCTGAGTACACTAGAACAACCCCCCTCTCCTGGGGACTCTGGATCAGTCTAAGGATTTGGGAGAATCACACTTTGATAAGCACAACCTTTGTTCTCAAATCGTCTTAGAATTTTAAGATGACAGAAACCTAGCATTTCAAAGAGAGGCAGGACAGATCGCAGAGTTCAACTATTCCAAGTCCAGTGTCTTGCAAGCAAAACTAAGATGTACAAAATTGGGGATATTTGCCATCCAAGTCACAGGAATCAATTGGATGTTTCCCCCCCCCCAATAGCCCTTCCAAACCCTGGACCTTCCCCTAGTCTACCTATTCCTCCTCCTGCCATCTCTACCCTCTACATTTCCTTGACTGGGTCTTGTCACACTCCAATTTACTCCTTCCCTTGGTGTCTTCCTTCACTCCCAGCTCCAGAAACAATATGGCTCTGTGTTCACTGTGTACTTTGGTCCAAGGCCAGTGGTTGTCCTGTGTGGGCACGAGGCTGTGAAGGAGGCTCTGGTAGACCAAGCAGATGACTTCAGCGGCCGTGGTGAAATGCCTACACTCGAGAAGAACTTCCAAGGTCATGGTAAGTAGCCGCACTTAAGAACAGAAATAATTGCAGCACGCTGTGTTGAAGGATCTCTGGTAAGTGATTCATGAGTCACCTACATTGACTCCCGAGAAAAGGGAGTGGACACTCCACTAATTTCAAGAGTGCAAAAGCCAATGGAGAGAAGGGTTAGGTAATGTCACACAATATGGTCAAGGGCTACTTTGTTTTGGGATTCGATTCCAGAAGTTGGACTCTAAAGTGCTTCCAGTGTTATTTTCTACTCTCAATGAATTACTGTGTGGAATTATTTGTGTAGCCTCCCCCCAAGGCCGTCACAGCCAAGCTTAGTTCGTATCTGCCCATATGCAGGTCCCACAGGTCACCAGTACTGGCATGTAGGAATGTTCTGTCTAGTGTCAACTATGCTGCCCTTCCTACTTGCCTGCATTCTTTAGATGCAGGGAGTCTCACTTCCCTCTTTCCATCTGTCTGTCTATCTATCCTCATGTCAGTATACATTTTTCTCAGTTCTACCCATTGTTCTAGAAATCCAACAAAATATATTTGTTATCCTTTGCATGCAAACATCTTTCCATCCTATTACATATATCTCGTCCAATGTTCTATGTATCCATGAATCCACCCCTACTTTGATTCACGCAATGAATCTTTCACATCTATTAATCTCTCCATCCACCTGCTCCTCTATCCATCCATCCACCTTTTCTTCTAGTCACTATCTGCTCATCTTAATCTCTCCATCCACTAACACGCCACTCAAAGTCTTTCATCCTCAAATCTGTCCAGCCAGCTAACCAGACAGAGAGACATCTACCCACCCATTCACCACACCATACACCATTCCAGTCCAGAACACTAGCTGCCCATCCAGGGATCCTGAGTTTGGCTCACAACCATCTATATCTCCAGTTTCAGGGCATCTGATGCCCTCCTCTGAACCCCACTATTCCACTTTTCCTTTCATTTATCAATATATTCTAAAATGACCCTATTAAATTCCCAAGCAGTTCACCAATCCACACCTCAGGTGGTTTTTACTATAGTCTTCGTGCAAGATAACTCCTTTTGTACAGGTGCACTGATGTACAGTTGTGAGCATCTATGGACACACATACATATATTTGAATAATGCAATGGTACCCAGAAAATAGAATTAGCATTTCCATTTAAGGAGTTCTCTATATGGAATTCCATCCTTACCTCCTCCACTTTTCTAGGCATGAAACATGAAACTAACCTAGCCACAGCTCGCTAGCCAATAAGAAAACGTCCTTGCTCTCCCTGATTATTCCTGGCCTTATTCCCTTTTCCTTCAGAGGGAATCTTGATTTCCCACTGAGTCTGGAATGTTGAGCTTTCATAACGGTGTGTGCCACCGCCTTGAGAGCATAAAGGGAAGAGGGGCAGGGTCCTGAACACTAATTCCCGCAGGTTTAGCTCTGTCCAATGGAGAACGATGGAAGGTTCTTCGGCGGTTTTCCCTGATCATCCTTCGAAACTTCGGGATGGGAAAGCGGACCATTGAGGAGCGGATACAGGAGGAGGCTGGTTACCTACTGGAAGAAATCCATAAAGTCAAGGGTATGGAGACCACATCCGGTGACTTGGTGTTTACGGAGTGCTAAGTCCGTGGGGAGACTTGGTGGAAGAAAGACCTGTAATGGGAAAGGATGGAAAGCATTATGGGTTCATAGAAACTTCCAGTGAGGTTCCATATGTTAAAAATCAACGTGGAAGATTCTGAGAGACTCTAGAAATGCTTATGAGTGGATCTCAGGGGTCTGCAGCTCAAGAAACCATACAGCATTCTAGTGTTGGGTGAGCTTGTGTCTTTTCAGAGAAAGGATCAAATGTTTCTATGTCATACAGGCTCTATTGTGATGAAGAAAACAACACAAAACTTATAGTCTTCACCATTTTTAAGGGTAGGTACAGTTTTTGGGGCTGGAGATATGGCTTGGCTGCTTATAGCACTGACTGCTCATCCAAGAGATCTGAGTTTGATTGCCAAACCTACATGGGGCTCACAACATTCAGCCCATAATTCCAGTTTCAGGGGATCCAATGCCTTCCTCTGGTCTATACAGGTACCAGGCATGCTTGTATACTATAGACATACATGCAGGCAAAATACCTATATACAAATAAAAATTCAATTAAAACATAATTTTTATTAGAAGAGTGTAATGTGTCACTGGTTGGCATATTCACATCATTGTGAAACAAATGCTTAGAAATGTCTCCTTTTGAAGGTCTTTACTCCCTCCCACCTCTGGTGTGTGTGGGGGTGGGGCATGGTTTCACCATGCAGCCAGGATGACTTTGAAATTGAAATTGCTCCAGTTAACACACACACACACACACATACATATTTTCTTCAGAAAAACTATTCTCTTGGGTATTTTACTACATTCAACTTTTTCTCAAAAATACAATATATTATTTATGTCATATTTCCCCTTCCAGCTCCTCCCAGATCACCCCCACCTCTGTACCCACCCAACTTCATGCTCTTTCTTTCAAAATAAAATAAAACAAAGTCAAAACAGACAAATATCCCTAACCAAGAAGCTATTTGCAGTCAATGCCTGCTGGAAAGGGAAAATCAGTTTTCTCTGATGAAGTGTCAGTGATTAATATCAACCATCTTCCACAGAGATTCCCCATGCCCAGGAGTAGGTCAACACATACAGACTCTGAAGGTTTTTTTGTTTGTGTGTGATTTTTTTATTATTATTATTGCAGTTTTTAAAGGTGCCTAAAATAAGGTATGGAGCCAAAAGAGTCTAGAAAGAAAAGAAAAGATTGAGCAGTATATAGAAACAAATAGATAATGAGATATAGACCCACAGCTCTTTACATCTGGACTCTGTAGATGAATGAATAAGGAGTCCACCCATGGCTTTGAACCAGTCTTCTACCTCCAGAAGTTATCTGCTGTGTTGTACATCATGAATGTACACATGGTTCTGGAGAAATTGACCCTACACAATTTACTTGACCAGGATTCCATTTTACAGATAATACACCTGAGACTTAGTGAAATTGTTTTTTTTCCATATGTATGCATGTGCGTATGCATGTTCACATGTACAGGTGCATATGCACGCACATGTACTTGCACACGAGTGCACATCTATATGGAGGCCAGAGGCTGACATCAGTTGTCTTTATCCATCCCTCACACCTCTGTTTACTGAGTTGTTCATGGATTATCACTGAACCCAGGCTGCTTTGATACCACAAATCTAGCTAAGCCTGCTTTTCCCAGAGAACACCTGTCTCCACCTCTCAGGTGCTGAATCAGAGATGAGATGCTACACTCTTTAAAACCTCCTATCTTTTTATCTGGGTGCTTAGGATTCTAACTCCCGTTTACATGACGAGCGATCTGTCTACTGAGCCCTCTTCTTCCCATCCCCAGGAGGAATTTCTTAACAAGCCAAATGGATTCTTGTGATAGACCTAGACTGAATTCAAGTATTCTTTTTTACATCGTGTTATTATTTTCTGTGGACAGATGTTTTGCTCGCACATATGTCTGTGTACCTGTGTATGCCTAGTGCTCCCAGAAACCAGACGGTTCTTAGAACTGGAGTCACAGGTGGTTATGAGCTGCCTTGTGGGTGCTGGGAATTAAACCTGGGTCCTTTGCAAGAGCAGCCTGTGCTCTTCACCAACGAGCTGTCTCTCCAGCCCTTCAGGTGATGGTTTTTTTTTTTTTTTATTTGTCTGTTTTTCTTTTTTCCCAATGTGTACTCTACTACTTTCCACCCACCACAAATGCATGTGGTTATCAGTGACAAAAGGCTGAATTTCTCTAGCATTTCTTGGGTGTTTATTCCAGGCCATGCCAGGCATTTTACAAGCATCATCATATTGAACACTCACAGATCAATTAGGAGATTTCCAAACCAGGTTGCAGCTTGGTAAAACTAGACTCAGGTATGAGAACATGCATTCATGTATACCACTAAGCAGTAAATTCGGGGCTCTGTGCCAACACTGAGTGATTTCTTTTTTCTTTTTCCTTTTTTTTTTTTTTTTTTTTTTTTTTTTTTTTCTTTCTTTTGGCAAGACCATTTTTTTAATTTAATTTTTTTCATTTTACATACTATCCCCAGTTCCCCCCTCTCCCCTTTTCCTGCCCCCTCCACCTTCCCCATCCCATCTACACCCACTCCTCTGAGGAGGTAAGGCCTCCCTTGGCAGTCAACAAAGTTTGGTATGCCAAGTTGAGGGAGGAAGAATCATATGAGCAAGGCAGGGGTGGATCAAGATCATGATTGGGAAAACCACAGAGACAGCTGACCCAAGTTACTGGATGCTCACGGACACTGGACCGATTACTGGGGATTCTGCATGGGACCCATCTAAGCCCTCTGAATGTGGGTGACAGTTTATGTGGCTTGATCTGTTGTAGGGAGGCTGGCAATGAGACCAGGACTTATACTGGGTACTGAGTGTTTTCTTGCTCTACCTCTCATGTGACTGTCTCCAACATAGTCAATGTCTACCTCTAGGAGCGCCCATAGATCCCACCTTCTACCTGAGCCGCACTGTGTCCAACGTCATCTGTTCCATTGTCTTTGGAAAACGCTTCGACTATGAGGACGAATGTTTCCAGAACCTGTTGAAGATGATCAATGAGTCGTTTGTGGAGATGAGCAAGCCCTGGGCACAGGTACTTAGCAGCCACCAGTCAGCTCTGGGCCCACCCTTTATTCTCAAGCAAGCCTTTCCTGTATGCCACCTAACCCTCTGCTCTCCATCCCTAGGAGGCACTTATCAATTTGTCCAATTGTTCAGGAAACAAAGGGTTACAGCCAAACCTCAGACCCAACAGTAGACTAGTTAGTGAAACAGGATGTCTCTGTGTAGCTTAGGTTGACCTTGAACCACTGATCTTCCTTTTCAGTCTCCCTGATGATGGGTTTAAGAGTGAGCTCTGTTCTGACCTAGCCCCAGCTACATGAGCCCAACTCTCTGACTTTAGAACCTGGCCCATCTGGTCCCTGACACCCTTGACTGACACACCCCTTTGCATCTCCCTCACAGTTATATGACATGTTCTGGGAAGTCATGCAGTATTTTCCAGGAAGTCACAACCACCTCTATGACTTGATAGAAGAGCTTAAGACCTTCATTGCATCCAGGGTCAAGATCAATGAAGCATCCTTTGACCCCTCAAACCCTAGGGACTTCATCGACTGCTTTCTCATCAAGATGTACCAGGTACTTCTCCCTTACGACATTCTTTCTGCCCTCTGAAGCCTCCATCCCTGATGTGCCAAACCCATCTTGCAACTGCTATTATCTCATATAGTTTACTTTATTATCTCATATAGTTTATCTCTAGATAAAATATGACTGTAGAAATGTAAGCCACTTGAACCTTCCAAATAAACTCCCTTTAAATTAATAAAATCAGATTTATTTCAGCATAAACTATGTAGGCAGGATTCCCTACAGCCATGGTTCTCAACCTTCCTAATGTTAAACTGTAATACAGTTCCTCATGTGGTGGTGACCCCATCCATAAAATCGTTTCATTGCTACTTCATAACTAATTTTGCTGATATGCGACACCTGTGGGTCTTGACCCACAGAGGAACAGAACTTACAAAGTGTGTGTGTGTGTGTGTGTGTGTGTGTGTGTGTGTGTGTGTGTGTGTGTGTGTGTTTAGGATTTATTAGAATGGCTTACAGGCTTTGGTCCAGCTAGTCAACAATGTTTGTCTACCAATAGAATGTCCAAAAATCCAGTAGGTGTTCAGTCTTTAAGGCTGGATGTTTGAGCTGGTCTTCAGTATCTTCAAGAACACTGAAGAAGTCAGCTCTAATGCCAGGGAATAATGGACTTGCCAGCAAGGATGAGAGCAAACAGACAAAGAGAGCCAGCTTACTTCTTCCATGTCCTTTATATAGGCTGCTGGCAGATTAAAGGTGGATCTTGCCACCTCGGAAGATCTGCATTGAAAGTGTATCTCTCCACATCAAAGACCCAGATGAAGTAGATCTTCCCACTTAAAGCTGACAACCAAGAATAGCCATCCCTTGTTAATTGCACATTAGTGGACTTTCCTGTGATACTTCCCTATAAGCATACAGCGTGCACTGGTCAAAACCAAAACCCTTCGTGTCTTTGTGAGCATGGTCTGCTTTCAAGTATATGTTTCCTAGCTTTAGTCTGTAATAGAAACATGCAGTAGTTGCCTCCGTGCCTGGCTTTTTTCCAGCAACCTAATTCCCCGACTTCTACCCATTTTGCTGCAAATGAGATTTTCCTTGTTTTTCATGATACCACATGAAATCACAAGTTGAATGTCACTGAGATTAGATGCCAGGACGTATGCAGTCTGCATGCCTGTGTGTTAACTATTAGAACTCTCGAGAAATCATTATGGAAACCGAGCATTTGGCAATTGAATTCTAATGCCCCTCAAACTCTCAAATTGTGCAAGATTCTGCTTCCTCTTCCCTTACCTTCTTGCACACTGCATGTCCACTGACCTTCTCTTGCTCTTCCTCTAAAACACCAGACATGCTCCTGCCTCAACGCCCGCTTGCATCGTTTCTTCTGGACTCACTTAACCCATCTTTTCTCCTTTCACAAGTGCACGTCTTCTACACAGAGGAAAAGAGAAGATAAAGGCTCAAGGAGGTGATCCTATTGACAATTCCCTTTGCTTTCAGGATAAAAGCGACCCCAACACAGAATTCAACCTCAAGAACCTGGTCCTCACCACCCTTAATCTCTTCTTTGCTGGCACAGAGACTGTGAGTTCCACCTTGCGCTATGGATTCTTGTTGATGATGAAGTATCCCGAGGTGGAGGGTAAGTTTCACTCTGAGCATCTCATCTGGTACCTCCCATGCCTCCTTGGAAGGATGGCAATCTTGAAATTGTACAATCCCACAGCCTTGATGACCTCAGAACCTGGGGCCTTCACCTCTCTGACCGACCCTATATTTGTTCTCTGTGGCTGTTGAGTCTTAATAGCCTGTATTTGTCATTTGACCCTCCTGGTCAGGACTTCTGCTCAGAATGGCTTCCGCTAGAGTGATATCAAGGAAGACAGTGACTTTCTCTCTGCCTTTCCAGTTCCCAGAGAGTCTTCCTTGAGTTCCTGGGCTCAAGCTTGTTTCCTGAATCTGCATAGCCAGAGCAGAGCACCTTCCCATCTCTTTGCCTCTGTTACCATCCCTCCTCTCCTAATTCTTACCCGCCTTTGTCACTACGATTCAGCTACATGGTCAATATGTATGATTTGGCTAATCTCTTCATTTCACAGAACTTAGTGAGACCTGCGACTTCATGCCATCCTTATATACATGACGTTGATGTCAAGGATTGGAAGGTGGATCTCTTCCCTTCCCCTCTCTTTTGGAGATGGGACCTAACTACACAGTCTAGGCTGGCCTTGGTCCGATGACCACTCTTCTTCAGCCTCCTGGGAAGCTGGGATGACACGTGTGTCATCACACCCAGGCAAGGCTACGTGAGGCTATTGCTCAGCTGACTACATTGTCCATATCAAACAGAATTTGTGTCTAATAAACTAGAATTTGATCTGGTTGGGGAACTCCAGTCATCAAAAGTCACTTGTTGCTGAAGAAAACTCTAATTTGGCCTTTCTCTGTGCTAGTCAAGTTCAAAACAGGCCTTTGTCTGGGCAAAAGCAACACCTATGTGTAACAGTACCGCTGGACCCAGCACACTATCCTAATCAATATTTTCCCCTCATTTCTTGTTATTTTTAATGAAAGACCAAATTCCCATCTGGCACTCGTGGATCTAGGCTGTGTGCTTCCCAATGCCGGATGAGTGTTCAAGTACCAGTGATGCCTGTTGTTAAATATAATGAAACAATCCAAACATGTGTGAGCCTTCTGGATCGAGGAACAAAATCCTCATCTCAAGATCCTTGACTTAATGACATCTGCAAAGCTCAGAACATGACTTGCCCTAGCCTCTCAACACAGATATTCCCTGGCCAGACATGCGCCTCATACATGTAATCCAGCATGTATGAGGCTGAGTAGGGCCCTATAAAACCAACATAGTGAGTCCCAGTCCAACATGAACTGCCTAGTGATGCCCTTTGGATAAACAAACAAGCACAAAAACAAAGACTGAACATGAAAACAAACGTCAGCCTTTCTTGTCGCCTTTCCTGGTATACTTCCTTCCGTCTTACAGCCAAGGTTCACGAGGAGATTAACCAGGTGATTGGAACACACCGCATGCCAGCAGTGGAGGACCGGGCCAAGATGCCGTACACTGATGCTGTCATCCACGAGATACAGAGATTGACAGACATCGTGCCCCTGGGTGTCCCCCATAATGTCATACGGGACACTCATTTCCGAGGCTACTTTCTGCCCAAGGTGACGCGCCCCACTGTTGCCCTGTCTCCCTTCCCGACCTCTCCCTCCCACCGCCCAGTGTAGAATTCTAATGGCCTGACTGTCTCCCAGGGCACAGATGTGTACCCACTGATTGGCTCAGTCCTCAGAGATCCCAAATACTTCCGCTACCCCGATGCTTTCTATCCTCAACACTTCCTAGATGAGCAGGGACGCTTCAAGAAGAATGATGCCTTTGTGGCCTTTTCCTCTGGTAGGTAATTATGCCTAGATTCCCCCCCCCCCCAGATAAGTGCTAGAGTAGTCTCTCCAAGGACTGTGTATTAGGATTATAAGAACCCTAAAATCCCCGATCAGGGACTATTAGAACCATTCACTTGAATGATTGTGGACATGTAGGCACAGTGGTGCATGTATGAAATCTCAGTATTCAAAAGACGGCAGTAATAAAATTTCAAGAGGAAGGCCAGCCTGGGCTCACAGCGAGATAGGTCCAGACTTGGAAACAATGAAAGAAAATGTTAGCGCCACAACAGCAGTGAGCAAGCATTTAGTAGACTTAACCATATTGTGTTAAGGATCAAATTAAAAATATTTCACGATTTGTCAGCCATATGATCCTTGTCTGAACCACGCACATCTGCCGTGTACTGTGGACAAACGTAGCCACTGACAACACTTTGACTATGTGGTCATGTATGCATGAAATTGTAAACATATTTATTCAGGAGTACTGAAGGAAACTTGTTTCACTTACACAAAAATATTCTCTTTCTCTGAATATTTTCAAGCATTCTAAATGCCCTCTGTGTGCATACAGACACAAACAGCATCATAGATTGGCCTCACAGACCAAAGTTTGCCGGCCAGTGAGTGGCTGTCATGGGACACCTGGAGACTTGCGTGATTTATTCAGTTCTCAACCTTGAAATGCATGAAATGGAGATTAATTCCTTCCTGCTGTTGGAACGGTTCCTGGCCATCAGAAAGACAGCCCTAAATACAATTGTTAGCTTTTTTTTTTTTTTTTAATCTCACTAGTATTTGATACCTAAGACATTTGAAATACCTTTGAGGAATTTAAATGAACAGAGTTTTGAAGTTTTTATTTTTTCTGGTCTTGGGGGGGGGGTGGAATTCACACACTCTGAGCAGACGTTTTATCGCCGAATTACACACTCCAGTCTCTCACTGGTGTAACCCAGTCCATGCTCTGTTGAGTCCCACCCCAGCCCTCATGGATTCTTTGGAACCTGTCTGTCTGGTTCTAACTCAGGGGTGAATCTGGGCGAGCAGACAAGAAGTTGCCCTGTCCGGTCCCTCTAGGTGACAGCTGGTAGTTGAGCAGTAGCAGTGGGACCCCAGTGAGTCTTGATAATGACCCCACAGCGTGGATACAGCCATGAGCTGAGATGCTGAGGAGTCCATCACGTGTCTCTGCAGGAAAGCGCATCTGCGTCGGGGAGGCCCTGGCCCGCATGGAACTCTTCCTGTACTTCACCACCATCCTTCAGAGGTTCTCCTTACGGTCTCTGGTGCCTCCTGCTGATATTGACATCTCTCACAAGATCTCAGGCTTTGGCAACATCCCCCCCACCTATGAGCTCTGCTTCATGGCCCGCTGAGTGCCCGCTGAGTGCCCGCTGAGGCCAACAGAGAGTGGAGAGCTGAGCTCTACAGGGGTTCTCCTATACCTGCCCACCCTTTTCTCCTCAATCCTCCCTGCACTTGGAGAAGTCGCTCTCTCTGCTGTGCCGAGGCCAGGAGAGGTGTCTGGAAACACATGACTGGACGTATAAAGCATGTCTGTAGCCACAGTTTGAAGGTTTAATTAAAGTCCCTGAATTTCTCAGCCATGGTCCACCCCAAACTCTTACAGATGCTGTGTGTTTACCCAGCCCTTTGTCTTTGCCCGGACAATGACCAGAATGAACTCGGTCATTCTCTCCTGTTTGCTTGTATTTCTCCACCCCAATAAAGAACTCAAGACTTGGCCAGAGCAAGTTTACTGTGCATTCTGTTGACCGTTCTATTGTTGCAGGAAATAATCAATCGATGAGACACCCAAGCTGAGAGCCAGGAAGGGGTTTATTGTAAGCAGAACAGGCCCCGGGGGGTTGGGGGGGACATCAGTCCAAAACTGACCCCTGAGTTCAGTTTAGTTTTCCTCTTCTTCCCTCCCTACATAGCAACCCAGAGTGGCACATACTTTAGTTGGCTGTATTAAACTTGCCTAACATAATATATTAAAACCGTGCCCCCCAAACAGAAGTCTATCATGGGCAGAGTATTTTTCAGTGCAGGGGATTAATGGAGGCTAGTTACAGAGACACAGTGAACTCCCACGAGGTACTAGCCTGGTCTTTCTTTAGCTTCCCAGGGGGTCTTCTGCCTCAGGGTGATGTGTAGATGGTGGCTTGTGCTTTCTGACTACTTGTCACTGATTGCCTTTCCCTGTGCCACCAACTGATTCCCGGCTGCCTTGATTGCCCCGAGTGGCATCAAGCATCAGGCTGGCTCATTGCTTGTCCTCGATTACCATCTCTCCTGCTAGCTTTGCTCTCCTGGTGGCTCTCATCTCAACTCCAAATCTACACAGCCTTGATTATTCACAGCTGTATACTTCCGTCTCTGTAGTCTGTGAACCCCGCCCCCTTCATACAGCACTTCTTCGAGTCAGTACTTATCAAAGGTGCAGTGTGTGCTGGTGGTACCCATCCATCCGTGAACAAAACAAGCAAACACTCTCCATGGGGGAGGGGGTGTGATTCAATGGAAACTGCTAGGCAATGCCATGCCTTGCCCTGACTGGGAATTTTTTTTTCTTATTTTACATATCCACCCCAGTTCTCTCTCTCTCTCCTCTCTCTCTCTCCCCCTCACTCTCTTCCTCCCATGCCCCCACCCTCCCATACCATCCCCCCCTTGCCCCATCTCCTCCCCCACAATCCACAGAGAATTTTTAAATGGCTGTGATCATGGTTAGAGCTGTAAAGGAAGATTGAAGGACACGTGAGCGCTGAAGGCCAGTGTTAGAAGAGAGTAAAGTGCCCTGAGAGGAGTTTAAAGACGCCTGAAATCAAAACCCAACAGAAATGCGTTTAAAACAAACAGGCCTTATCTGAACAAAAAAAAAAAAAAGATTAATAAGGTGTAAGATATGTATCCAGAGAGTTCACCACACTAAAATATAAACTGAAAAACAAGCATGTATTTTACAATATTTTTATTTACCCAACAATTTCATGTTTTCTGAGTCAACTTGACCCAAGCTAGAGTCATCAGAGAGGAAGAAGCCTCAGCTGAAGAAATGCCTCCATGAGATCCAGCTGTAAGGCATTTTCTCAATTAGTGATCAATGGGGGGAGGCCCTGCCCATTGTGGGCGGTGCCATCCCCAGGCTGGTGGCCCTGGATTCTCTAATAAAGCAGGCTGAGCAAGCCAAGGGAGCAAGCTAGTGAGCAGCTCCCCTCCATGGCCTCTGCATCAGTTCCTGCCTCCAGGTTCCTGCCCTGCTTGAGTTCCTGCCCTGACTTCCTTCAGGGATGGACCGTGATGGGGAAGTGTAAGCCAAGAAAAACCCTTTCCTCCCCACATTGCATTTGGTCCTGGTGTTTCATTGCAGCAATACAGACCCTAAGTAGGACACACATATAGAAAGTTCTTTAAGAATACGTACTGCCGTTCCTCTCAATTATCTCCCTCCCTCTCTATGGAACGTTTTGTCTTCTCGATACCCTTCTAAATCCCCTCTTCCTCATGTCTTTTCAAAAAATTGCTAGGGTTACTTGCATGCACATGGTTTTAGAGTTATTTACTGGGCACGTGAAATGGCTACACCCCTGAGGAAAAAAACAGCTTCTCCTTTCCCAGTTGCCACCAGTACCCCTAGGTCTTCAGTTAGGAGCGGAGCCTCCAGTGAACGACCTCCACCTATGCCGTAACGTTGATCCATCTCGCAGTGAGTTTGTGAGTGCAATGGCAATGCCATGGCCAGAAGAGAGCATCTCATAGCATCCCTCACAACTGCAATCCTCAGGCTCTTACATTCTTACCATCCCCACCTCTGAGCCTTGGCAAGGGAAGGATATAAATGTCTCGCCAGGTCTGAGTACTTAGTAGCCCTTTATTCTCAGCACTTGAACACATTCTGAGTCTCTGCATTAACTGCTGACCACAGCAAAAAGAAGTTTGTCTGACTGTGGTTGACAGTGGAACACAAATACTCTGAAGGTGGTTTGATACTACATCCATTTAGCAAATCAACTGGAATACATCCTTCCCTGGGGCCCATAACCTTCCTAACCTTGGGTTTTTAACCAGGTTTATGGTACCAGCATGTCACTATTGTATCAATGGGCTCAACTTGCCTGGCAGATTATTATTGTAGCACGTAGGGCAAAATACTGATGTCTACCCCAGCAGCCTGCACAGCACCTTCCCCCTGTAAAAATGCCCAACAGGGAAGGAACTCCCAGCCCTGTTCCAAATAGATCTTTCTATGCATCACAGCAAAAGCACATGGTGTCCTCTGCATCAGGGTCTTACCATCTAGTTCTGGCAGACAACCGAGAACACGGGCAATTGCTATATTGTTTAAGGGCATCTGGGACCTCCCTGACCAATAACTCCTGGCTTACAGAAACACCAATATCAACCCATGCAGAGTACCTTCCTGTAAGGTCTTTTTTCTTTTAAATTGTATTTTTAACTTACAAGATAATAGGTTTCTATATGGCCTTTTCATAAATCCTTAATTTTTCTTGTCCCCCATCCTCGCCCTTCCCCATCTCCTCGCCCTACCCTGTTTAAGCCTCTCCACCCCTCTTGTTTACCCTTCTTTCCCATCACGGGTTTTACTATTTCCTCCAACCCAACTTTTTTACCACCCCCTGCCCCACCTCTCATGGACCTTTTATTGATTCCTGGCCCCCTCCTGACAATCACACATACATCTGAAGTTTTAAACTCGGCTCCATATATGAGGGGAAATACATGGTTCTTGGGCTACGTGTTTTCTAGTTCCATCCATTTTCCTGCAAATTTCATATTTTTCTTTAGCACTGAATAGAATCCCGTCACTGTTTTAACTTCTGCACAGCAGCTGCGCCTTAATCTACTGCTATCCCAGCCATCAATTGCAACCCTGCAGTTACCAGCCTGCTTCTCGTGCAGAGGTCTGGCCGCTCAGGCTGCAACCTGCTGGGAATTCTGCTCCCACATGCACCAGCCCTGTCACTGCAGCTAAAAGTAGCTTTAACTAAATCTCCATCGTTCTATTTACAGACAAGACTCAAGATTCAAAGGCTGGGGTGAAAACCTGCTAGCTCAGAGAGGGTGGGTCACAACTAGCTAACCTTCTCTCCTTGCTGGTGTCTCTGAAAGACTCATGCATCTGCTTCGACAAACCAGAAAAAAAACTGCTCCGCTCCAAACCCCTCCCTACTGCTTCCTGTGTCTCTCTGTCCCTCCCGGATGCCCTCTGACGGTCTATGATTACTTTATGTCAACTAGTTGCTAACTCAACCTCCTGACCCAAGGTTAATTTAATTTAATTGATGCTAATAAAAGCTCAGGGTTCACGGTGAGATCGATTATCCCCACTGTGTGAAAATGAACCACATTTTCATTACCATGCTTAAGTTGGTAGATACACAGACTTGTTACCACAGCCTAGCTATTGGGAATAGGGCAGCAATGAACATGGATGTGCAGGTCTCTCAGTTGTGGGACCTGGAGTCCTTTGAGACTATGGCCAGGATTGGCATAGCTGGGTCATATGAAAACTCTGTTTTTGGTTTTTTCAGGAACTCTATGCTGATTTCTAGAGTAAACTGCCACTTGTTGGTATCAGTTCATTGGGCAGTGAGTAACAGCACTTGGATTTTAGAGGGGACACATGCAAACCAGTATCTGTTTTTTTCTCCTCTCTAGACATTTCAGCCAACTGGTGGATATTTTAAATATCTTTCATACTGTGCAGTTATTGTTCATTTGATTGATTCAACATTATTTGCTGGAGCTCACTCAGCCACTATCAGAAATGGAAATCCCCTAGGGCTGGGAGAGATGGCTCAGCCGTTAAAGGCTAGGGTCACGACCAAAAAATATAAGAAATGGAAATCCCTATAGAGTATTTGCAATATCTTCAGCCTTGTTTTTAAAACAACTTTTTTTTTGACAGACAAGTACATGATCTCCCATACATTGGGAGAGGTAGAAAGCTAACTCATAGGAGAAGAAAATAGCCAGGCAGTGGCCGGAGGCGGGGAGGGGAGAGGTATTGGCCAAAGGATGTGAATATCAAGTACGCCCGAGATATAAACAGATCTATTGTCTAACACAGAGGCTGTGGTTAAAAACAAGGTATCATGTTCTAGATTACTGCTAAGGTTCTGAGTGTTCTCACACAAAATCCTTTGTGACACAATATGTATTCTAATTACCCTGATTTAGCCATTCTGCAATATATAGCATATCAAGACATTGTATTGTACACCTTCAAAATATCCGGTTGCTATTTGTCAATGAAAAAGAGACCCTAAGTAGGAGAGATAGTAGAATTCATGTTCTATGAACACAGAAGCAGGGCTCTTAGGAGGAAGACCAGGGAGTAGAGGGAGAG